GCTGATAACTAGAGTATACTTAGAACTCATGAAAACCAGCTAGAAAAAAATCAAATAACTCTATTAAAAAGTGGGCAAAGGAGTTGAACAGAAACTTTTCTAAAGAAGACAGAAGAATGGCCAACAAACATATGAAAAAATGCTCAACATCGCTAATCATCAAGGAAATGCAAATCAAAACCACCATGAGATATCACTTAACTCCAGTGAGAATGGCCTTTATCAAAAAGTCTCCAAACAATAAATGCTGGCATGGATGCGTAGAGAGAGAAGATCCTACACTGCTGGTGGGACTGCAAACTAGTTCAACCTCTGTGGAAAGCAATATGGAGATACCTTAAAGTAATACAAGTGAATCTACTATTTGATCCAGCAATCCCATTACTGGGCATCTACTCAAAAGATTAATAAAATGTGGTATATGTATGTATACCATGGAGTACTATTCAGCTCTAAAAACAACGGTGATATAACACATCTTATATTTTCCTGGTTAGAGCTGGAACCCATACTACTAAGTGAAGTATCCCAAGAAGGGAAAAACAAGTACCACATATACTCACCAGCAAACTGGTATTAACTGAGTAGCACCTAATTGGACACATAGGTACTACAGTAATAGGGTATTGGGCAGGTGGGAGGAGGGAGGGGGACAGGTATATATATACATAATGAGTGAGATGTGCCCCATCTGGGGAATGGTCATGCTGGAAACTCAGACTTGTGGGGGGAGGGGGGGAAAGGGCATTTATTGAAATCTTAAAATGTGTACCCCCATAATATGCCGAAATAAAAAAAAATCACATTGCTTGAAGCATGATTAAAAATCATATCTCATATAATAGACTGTTCTCAGTGTTTGCCCAGAGTAGGCAGAGGCCGTAAGCAAGGCCTAGGGGGACTTGACATAGCAAGAGCATGAGTTTTATCACCACTTCTCTGCATCCCCTTACTGACATCTCACTTTTTGGGTTGACAGTCTTTATCATTCTTGTTTTTAAATATCTTGCTTTATTGAGTGGTGAAGCTAAGCTGATTGCTTTCTCATTAAAAGGCAACTTTTTCAAGAAAACACTTCTTTGAGGACAAGAAAGAGTTGGAATGAGGTGATAGAAGGAAAAACTCAAATGGAGAAATGATGAGACAAGGGAGACGAGGAGAAATACCAACATATCTTCTATGTCTTTGAATAATTATTGAGCATATATCAGCAAGCATAAAACTATCTTTTATTTTACAACAAGACAAAAATAATTCATGCATGTGAGGAAGCTGAATATGATTATCAACATATTTTTAATTAATTTGTAAGTTCTTACCATTTACTAATAACCAGAATAAAATACCAGACTGCCTTAGAAGAATGTTGAAGAAAGAGCAAGGAGTTTCAAAGTAGGAGGATTAGAGTAGATGAAGTATATGAGACCAGATAACCTACCAGCTGTGTTCCCAGGAGGAACTAAAGCACACTTACTCTGCTTAAGTGATGAGGAATACAGTCAGCATCATTAAGAAGCTCAGAGAGGCTATTTCTTGTGCACCAGCCATGATGGTAGGAGATGCTTCCATGGAAACAAACTCCCTAGAATCAATATGGACAATATGACTTCAGAATAGCAAAGGCCAGGTGACAGTACTTAATAATGTGGCAATGTGGATATAATTACTATAACAGATAGGCAGCAAGGCCAGAGTGACAACTGGGAGCCCTTGACCCATGGGAATCTACAACAATGATTAATAGACCATCCTGTTTTTAGAGCCAAGAGGAGATGGACAGCCAATGAGGTGTTGCTCAACTTATACAAAAAAAAAAAAATCATAAGGTGGTGAGCAGAAGGCCAATTTCAACAATATAATTAGAAAATAATGATTCCTTATGGAACTCTTATTCTAAACTAGTTCTCAGAAGTAGATAGTCAATTGAAAGGAGACCACAGTACCAAAACGAGAATATATAAAACAGATTATGCTTCAAAGGGGTCTATGGTATATTTCAAGGTAACTACACACAAGAAAATACCCAAATGGAATACCAAAATCTTTTGGGAGTTACTGGATATAGTATCAGAGCTGACATTGACACTAGGGGACACAAAATGCCATAATAGGCCCTTTAATGGCCGACAGTGCAATTGTTTCAAAGAGTCTGTGGATCCATTCCTGGTGATTTCCCCAGTCTCAGGTGCATAATCAGAATAGATTTATTTAGCAGCTGTTAGAAACCTTACATTAGTTTTCTAATCTGTCCAGTAACCGCTACCAGGGTGAAAAGATTCAAGTGAAACCCTTGATACTGTCTCCAAAAGCCAACACAGTAAGTCAAAAGCTATACAACACTTTTTCTGGAATTACAGATAATCTGCTACTCTCAAAGTTAAAAGACACAGGGACGTTGCTCCCTTTCATGTCCCCATTCATATAAACAGTGTAGCCCTTACAAAAGAGAGAAGAAAAGTGACAGATTGGAGAATGAAAGACAAGCATGTCTGTGGAAGAGGCATGTGGACATACCTATTAAAGTGGAGACAAATTGTGCAGATCTTTGCTGCAAATTTATGCTACCAGAAAGCATCTGCCGCATAGGAAATATTGAAGATCCTGATGAATAAGCCAACTCATCCAGTGGAGGTAAATTGGCTTCTGTTCTCAGCCACCCCAGTGCTTGCACAATGGGTCCACAACAGAGTGGCCATGATGTCAGAGATGGAGGCAACACATGACTCCATCATCACCTTGGAACCAGCTACAGCAGTAGGGACTGTGGCTTATTCCACTAACACATCCATTGAAAGGGTGTTTTTGAGTGGAAGTTTCTTCTTGCTTTTGTTTTATTTTTAAAAAATTGTTCCCAGCCACCACCCTGAAGTATCAATAACAAAGAAGAAAATAACATATGGGGCATGAATGTATCTGGGTAATGTAGCAGAGACTGTTGATTCTCTAACCCATTTCTCCCAGCACCAGCAATGGCAGACATTCCCAGCATGCTGATAGCTTCCTCCCCAGGTGCCTGTTTCTCTTTTCTTCTCTGTCTAGGGGTTTTCTCTGGCACCCTGGAAGCTTACACAGCTACATGCAGGTGTGATCTAGAAGTATGGGAGAGTTAACACCCTGGGGCTATTCGCAATCAGTAAAGAATGACTGCTGGTGGCCAAATGCCTTAAGATCTCCATCATTCAGTAGGATGATTCTGAGATGTGTTCTATACAATTCCTTTGTGGAGCAGTATTGAGCCATAGGTACCTACCACAGTAACCTCCCACTGATCATCCTTCATTAATTTTTGTCATTTCCTTTTCTTATTTCCTGTTGTGCTTCCTGGGATCACTTTCCAAGTAGACAATCTGCTCCAAATCCTTTTCTTGAGTCTGCTTTTGAAAGTACACAAGCTAAGAAAATACTGATGGTTTAAATCAATAATAATAATGCCTTGATAGGTTGAAATGTAAATAGAAATAAAATATACAGCAATGATAGCATAAATTTTGCTGGATTGACAAATGAAATGTTCTATGATCTTTATATTGTCTAAAAAAGAGTAAAATTACCAACTAACATTAGACTTTAATGAGTCAAATGTGCATATTGTAATCTTGTAAGGGCTTATGATATATAAGAAACTCCTCAAAATCAGTGAAACAAGGACCAAGACAAACAACCCAATAGAAAATAGGCAAGAGAACTGAACAAATAGTTTAGAAAAGAAGATGTCCAAATAGTCAATAAACATGTGAACATATGTATAAATCATCATAATCAGAAAAAATGAAAACTGACAATGAACTATCAGTACCGAGCCTCCACATGGCTAAAATTTAGATGATTGACAATTTCAAGTTTTGGCAAGCATGCAGATCAACAAAAACTCTTTTATGCTGTTCCTGGGAGTATGAATTTTTTCAGTCTCCTTGAAAAATAATTTATTATTTACTACAGTTGAAAACATTTATTCTTTATGACCTGATTTCACTCCTGCCCAACAGGAATAACATGCATATGTGATCCAAAAGACATATGCAAGAATCACAGCAGCATTATGTCCATCAACTTTAGAATGAACAATAAATTATGGTATGCTCATAAATGGAATACTACAGTAATAAAATGAACAACCTACGACTATACTCAACAATGTAATCTTAAATACATCAAAAAAGGGAAAATTAACTACTTTATTTATATATACATTATTAGATAACACCATATAAAGAAAATCAAAGAGACAAGTCCCATGAAAATAAGGACAGTAGTTTCCTTTGGGGCAAAGACAGGGTAGTTATTGGGAGGAGGAAGCACTTCTAGGTATTAACAATGTTCCATTTCTTATCAGAAATGGTCATTACACAAGTTTATGCTTTGTGATAATTAAGCTTTGCATTCATGTTTTATATGCATTTCTATATATGTATTATATTTTATGAAAAAAGGAGATTTTAAGGAATTCACCTGGGTAGGACAATTCAGAACAAACCACCCTTGAGAGAATTAAGGGACCACTTCTCTTTAGTCAATGCCATTGAGTTTACATTCTTGTGCTCACTCTCCAGTGATAAGTCACAAATGTATCAATCATTTGCTTACAGTAAAAAATCTGGTCGGTTGCTATGTGATGAAATTTGATGTACAAATTATATTTAAGTCACCCTCCCCCAACTCTTACTGCATGTGTCACCACTGTACCACCCAATGTAATCCTGCCTAATCAACACTTCAATTTTCTTTCTTTTTATTGCTAAACTTCCATCAATATTTGCCTAGGAAGGCAATACTTCTTGAACAGTCTGGTTATTACTTTTGTAATGCTTTAATACATTCTTTGTAGCTTCTTTTCAATATTCCCTAATGACCTAATAGCTGTTTTATTCATTCTCATGCCTATGAGAGTGTCCTTATAATGCTTTCTTAGAGGTCATGATATCCAGTGGCTCCAAATCCAATTGCTCTTTTTTTTTGTTTTTTGTATTTTTCATATTCCATCTCTCTACTTGAGACAATACCTTTTTCATCTCCAATTTCCAATGCACAAATCAAATTATGCTTCTCTTGTGGTTAAATTCAAATAGCTTCCCTACAAAACAAAGAACAAACTTCTTAAGCATGTATTCATGGGCCTCTAAAATCTAGCTTCAACCTTTCTCCCTAACCTCACTTTCTAAGGAAATTATACTCTAGGTCATAAATCCACCATCCTTATAAAGAAAGAAAGAAAGAGAGAGAGAGAGAGAGAGACAGGCATACACACACACACTTCTCCTATACATACCTTCTATAGACTTGTGCTTAACTTATTCATTTTGTCTGTAATATATATAACAAAAACATACCAAACATGTAAATTAAGTTAGAGCTCATTTATAAAGCTAGATACAAAAAATAAATATCATATTGGCCAATTTAAAAGAGTAATACATTCTGAAAAAGTTAGTTTTGATCCAAGAAAGCAGGAAAACATTCATTGGAAAGTTTATTAGTGTAATTCAAAACTCCAACAAAAGAGAACTCTTAACTTTATAAATGATATTTACCAATGCTCTATAATGAGTATCTCTAAAGATAGAAATAAAGCAAAGATGCCCACAACATCACCAACATTTAAGTCTGTATGGACTATGTTAACAATAGAATAAACCAGAAAAAAGAAGAAAGCTATAAATATTAGAAATGAAAAGACAATACTACCATTATTTATATATAATATGTTTTCCTATCAAAGATGAGAATTAACTGAAAAATTAGAACTAGCAAAGCAATTAGATGGCTAGATATAAAATCAATATATAAATATCAATCATTTTCCTATAAACCACTTTTAAAATATAATTTTAAAAAGTTTATTTGCCACAGCAAACATAAATTTCAAAATGTCTAAGAAAAACTAAAAAGTGTATAATATTTGTATGAAAAAGTAACATTTTATAGAAGTTTGTAAAGTCTTTTAAAGAAGAGCTGAATATATGATATATCATGCTTCTGAAGAGACTTAATTATTTTAGACATGAACAATTTTCCCAAGGATAATAATATTAAAGAAATCTCAATCATAATAGTAATGAGATATTTTATGAAACTTAAATGCTGATTCTAAAATTCTATGGAAGAGGAATTAAACAAGAATAACAAAAAGAAAATAATTTAAAAGCAAAAGAGAGGTTGTTTTAAATGTCATCATATACCAAAGACAGTGCAGAAATAAAATGAAAATTAGAGAAACAGAATGGAAGCCATAAACATAATCCATGTATACATAGGTGTATAACAAAGTCAATGTTTCAAACGCAAAGGTTGATGAGCCTTTTTTAAAATGATACTAGAATAACTGAATATCTACAGGGAAAAATAAAATGTCACACCATTCATAAAACAGTGTCTAGAGCTAAATATGAAGAACAATCTACAAAATAATTAGAAGAAAATATGGGAGACTATATTTTTGTACTCAGAGCAGGGAAAGTTTTTCTAAAAGAAAAAACAAGTCATAAAGAAAAAGATAGGTGTAACTATAATAAAAAAACTTAAAATATTTCCAATGAAATGATACCATTAGCAAAGCTGAATGGCAAGAAACTGACAGAAAATAACTGAAAGACAGATAAAAAGATTTAACTATCCATAATTTTTAAAGCTCCCCAAATCAATTAAAAATACTAAACTATTTTGAAAAGGGCAACTGACCTAAACAGGCAATTAAAATTTTTTAAATGAAACATGTATCATTAAAGCAATTAAAAAGTCAATCAATGTACTTTTAAACAATGTCCAAGTTATATTAATATTATAAACCAGAAAATTATTTTAAAATTTTTGAAATATCAGTAAGACCAAAAATTTAATAAATCTGTTCTTTGGACAAATTAAAAGCAATAAAATTTGATATTTTGTATTTAAATTTCAAACATAAAAAATACAAATATTAAAATGATAAATGAATACTGGATTATCTATAATTAGGAAGAGCAAAATGAGCAAGTAGAATCCTTGAGTGATCATCCTCCCACAGGAACAGCAAATTAAACAACTATCCATGTAAGAAATCACCTTCACAGAAACTAAAAAATCAGGTGCGAGATCACAGCACCTGTTTTATAATAGCATAATAACAAGAAAACACATGAAGAGGGTAGGAAGGAGAGACTCACATTGCCTGTACCACCCCTTCCCTATCTGCTGGCAGTACAGCTACCTGTGAGCCTGGGGAAGAGAGAGGGAAATGAGTGTGAGATTTTGCACTAGAACTCAATTCCAGCCTTGCCACAGTGGAACACAGCACCAGACAGAATGCTATGGCCCTTGGTTTCAGCCTGGTATCTTCAGAGAAAGCATTTGAAAGCACCCTTGACCAGAGGGAAATCAATAGCCCCAAATGGGAGGAAACAAAGTCTATCTGGCTAAAATGGCCTCAGACCTCAAATAAATTTCAGTGGCAGCCAGGCCATAGTGACCATGATTCTTGGATGAGCCTCACTGTTGCACTGGTCTGGGAAGCTGCAGGCTCAAAGTACAACCCAGCATGACACTAACTACAGTGGCCACAGGAATGCCTATGTCACCCCTCCCACAACTTCAGGCAGCATATCATGGAGATTTCTTCCACTTGGGGAAGTAGAGGAAAGAATATAAGAGACCTTTGCCTTAGAACTGAGTATAAGCCACACCAGAGTAAAACACTGAGCATAATCCCAAGGACCCTGATTTTAGGCTATTGCTCTGAGACACCACTTTGAGACCCACCCTGAGCCATGAAGGGATCTGCCACCCCAGTGTGACATACCCAAGTCATGGCCAGCTTATCTACCAGCTGGCTAAAGTAGCCTTGAGCCATCAGTGGCAGTCAGGCATTAGTGGCCACGGGCCTTGGGAGAGCCCCAGTATTGTGCTTATCTGGGAGGCCATGGGATTCAAGTACAAACCAGCATGATGCCAGCTGCAGCGGGCACAAGAGTGTTCATGTCCCTCCTCTCTCAATGCCTGGTAACTCACCAGGAAGAGAAACTCCTTCTGCTTGGGGGATAGGGAAGTGAGTGTGGGACTTTGCCTGGGAACACAGGAAATTCTACCTTAACTTCCCCAAGTCCATCAAGGCTGGGTATCTAGGAGTCTGCAAGAGTCACAGCATACTGTGCTTAGGGTGCCCTATAGTGTTGATATGGCTGCAGTGACCATAGGTTTATCGGACACAACATAAGAATACAATCTCCTTTAAATTCTTGGAAGGCCCTCTAAGAAGGGCAGTTACAAACAAGGCCAGACTGCAAAGACTGGAAAAATACTTACCTCTTCAATGTCCAGGCATTGATGAACATCCACAAGCCATGAGACTATTCAGAGAAATATGATCTCACCAAATAAGGTGCCAATGATAGAGCTTAATCTTGCAGTGACAGAGATATGTGACCTCTCAGGGAATTCAAAATAGCAGTTTTGAGGAAACTCAATTAACTTGAAGAAAACACAAAGAAGTAATTCAGATATTTATCATAGAAAATTACCAAAGAGATTGAAAAATTAATAAAAATCAAACAGAAATGCTGCAAATGAAAAATACAATTGATGAGCTAAAAAATACTTCACAGTGTCTCAACAGCAGAATCAATCAGAAGAAAGAATTAGTGATTTCAAGGGCAGGTTATTTGAAAATACAAAGTCAAAGGAGAAAAAAGAAGAAGAAGAATGAAGAATGCTTAAAAGATCTAGAAAATACCCTCAAAAAGACAAATCTAAGTCATTGACTCAGAAAGAGGGGGTAGAGAAAGTTAGAAAAGTAGAAAGTTTATTTGAAGAAATAATAACACAGAACTTTCCAGACCTACAGAAAGATAAAAATGTTCAGGTACAAGCAGGTCAAAGAACACCAAGCAGATTCAACCCAAATAAAACTACCAACGGCATATAATAATCAAACTCTCAAAGGTCAAGGACAAACAGGATCCTAAAAGCAGCAAGAAAAAAGAAACAAATTACATATCAAGGAGTTTGATACATTGGGCAGCAGATTTCTCAGTGGAAATCCTACAGGCCGACAGGGGTAGGGTGAGATATTCAAAGTACTGAGGAAATAAAGTTCTAACTAAGAATACTATACCCACAAAATTTATCCTTCGAACATGAGGAGAAATAAAGATTTTTCCAGATATGACTTTTTATGTCATGTCTTATAAGAAATGATAAAGGGAATTCTTCAGTCTGAACACAAAGGACAACAGCATGCAACAAGAAATAATCTGGAGGTATGAAACTCATTGGTAAAAGTAAGAAGATAAATTCAGATTACTGTAATGATCATGTAAAAACCACTCATATTTTTAGTATAAAGACTAAAAGAAACATATAGCAAAATTGACAATAATAACAACTTGTTAAGAGATAGGCAATACAAAAATATAAAAATTGAGACAAAAAAGTCAACAAGTGAGGAGAATAGAGTTCAAGTATAGAGTTTATGTTTTTCAAGGAAGGAAGGAAGGGAGAAAGCTCAGAAAGCAAGTCTCAAAATGGCAGTACTAAGTTCTTACCTATCAATAAAATTGAATGTAAATAGATTAAATAAATTTTCTAATCATAAGACACAGTGACTAAATGGGGGAAATCCAACTATATGCTGCCTACAAGAAACTCAATTCACCTATAAAGACACACATGCACTGAAAGTGAATGAATGGAAAAAATATTTCATGCAAATGAAAAGAAAAAGGAATAGCCATACTATATCAGATAAAATAGATTTCAAGTCAAAAAGTTTAAACAAAGATAAATATTATGATATAATGATAAATGAGTAAATTCAGAAAGAGGATAAAAGAACTGCAAATATATATGCACCCAACATTGGAACAACAAAATATACAAAGCAAGTATTAGTAGATCTAAAGTAAAGATATATGACAATACAATAATAGAGGACTTTAACACCCCACTATTATCAATGGACACATAATGAACATAGAAAATCAACAAAGAAACATTGGAATTAAACAGCACTCTAGAACAAATGGACCTGATAGTTACAAAAATTTTTATCTAACTGCAGAATACACATTCTTCTAATAAGCACATGGAACATTTTCCAGGATG